TAAGGAGAAATTTCCTGACAGTAAGAACAATCAGTGGAACAGCTTGCCTCCAGGAGTTGTGGGTGCTTCACCATTGGAGGTTGTCAAGGAGAAATTGGACAACCATTTGTTCAGAATGGTATAAAGCAGGGGTCCTCAAACTTCTTAAACAGGGGACCAATTCATGGTCCCTCAGACTGTTGAGGGGCCAGACCTGCTGGGTGGATATGGCTAGGTGGTCATGTGACTGGGTGGGCGTAGCCAATTTAGCAATCCATTAAACAATACACACAAATTAAACTTTAATTTGTTATCATCTGGGGATGGAAAGCACATTAGTGAAGGGATGTGCTTGCCTGGGGTGTGTGTGAAGAACTTCCGTGTGTGTGTGTGTGTGTGTCTCCCCCTCCCTCCCTCTCCCCCCCTCTCTCTTGAGGCTGGGGAGGCCAAAAATGGCCCCATTTTTGGCATCCCGGAGCCTCCATGTGTCCCATTTTTGGCCTCCTTGGCCTCCAGAAGGCAGGTGGGGGCCAGCAGGTAGGTGGGGCGATGTGGGCGGAGCAGCCTCATGGTTCCATGCGGGCCGGATTAATGGCTTTGGCAGGCCGTATCTGGCCCGTGGGCCATAGTTTGAGGACCCCTGGTATAAGGTCTTGGACAACCATTTGTCTGGAGTGGCATAGGGTCTCCTGCTGGAGCAGAGAGTTGGACTAGAGGATCTCTAAGGTCCCTTCCCACTCTGTTAATTCTAAGTACATTCTAATTAATTTCTAGGTCATGTTTCTATTCTAGGTCATGTTCATAGTCAGATCTACGATCTATGTGTGAATTTCAGAATAACTTTCCCCCCCCCAACTCAAATTATTTTTAGCTGTTTTAATAACGATCACCAAAGAATTGCTCTATTTCCAATTGTAGACTTTTTTCCATTTTCTAAAGGTTTTTCTGACAGTTAGTTTAGGTGACCTAAGCTATCCAAAGTAAATGTCTTAGCAGTGATTCTTTTTTTGTTGTTGTTGTTGGTAATTCATAGCTGCCACGGGAGAGGCCTTGCTCTAAAGAAAATTGTTTTCTTTTTTTGTGGTTCTTTCTGCAGTAGAATCTGAATAACAATGCCAATTACTGGCTTTATCATTTTGTAGCCTCTAGTGAAAATAAAAATGAAAAGCACAGACACCCTGGATGCAGCAAATTCAATCAAAACTGCTGATGAGAGCAAATCAACCTTCACCCTCAAAAAAAAAAAAAAAAAAAGAAGAAGAAGAAGAAGAAAAAGAAGGGAAAGTCTTGGGCTTTAAAATGAGTAATACGAAATAAAGTGACACATTCTTATTTTTTCAGACAAATTGACAGAAGAAAAGTTATTTACTATTTCTTTCCTTTTTTAAAAAATTGCATCTCTTCTCTTACGACTCACTAAATGCTAAACTGTTACCCTGCAACAGCAAGATGGAAAACAATTGATGTAAATATGTCTTGTTTTGCCACCTGATGTAAAGCAGTTAGGTACAATTCCTTGTTATAAATGGCATTCTGCTTTCTAGAGCTGGGTTTTACAATTCGGATAAAAGCCAGGATGCTACGTTTACTTTATTTGTACTTAAGTAAGTAATCTCATTCATTTTCATAAATAGACCTCACATTTTCCCTTCCCTCTGTCCTACACATTTTGCATTACAATCTTTCTCTTTTAATGCCAAATCAATTTTTATTCAGCCTTTGCCATTATTTGCCCCCCTTTTAGAGAGCTATATAATGCTATTGTACCAGTGAATGTCAGTATTCAATTTTATTGACACATCCTTGATATTCTCTTCACCAATTAAGAAGCATTTGAATTACAAGACTTCCTCTTGAGTCTTCTGTTTCGGTTATTCTATAAAATATTACTTTTTTTTTTTAATAATGTCTAATTTAGTAGAAAAATCCAGCTGGCTGCTTCACTCATGTAGGCCTTACAAGCTTTACAGTTATTTATTGTTTGCCTCACCAGATCAAATAATTGACCCAAATAATTTCACCCCCTCTAGGGCATTATTATTTCTTACCTCAGTTTTACTAAACTGAAAGTCAAGGGTAGGCAGACACTATTAGGGCAGTAAATACTTTCCTTGCTTTCTGCTCAATGTGACTTTCATTACCTTTTTTTTTTTTTTTAGATTTTTCTAATTAAGAACTTAATTATATGAAAAACTGACATGCTCCAAAGGAAAGTATCAGCCTCAAATGTCAACTTTATAACAATTCACACAAGTCCCATGCATAGAATTTTTTTTAAAAATAGAAATGTTAATTAACTCCAGCACAGTTTGCACCACTTTGAAAATCTATAGTATTGTATTCCTTTCGAAATATTAACATGGTGAATAATATTCCCTTAATTTGTTAGCTTTATTTTCTACATCTTAAGGCAGTCACTTGTTTTGGCTGAAAGTTTAATGGAAGTTTGCTCTGTCAAAACGTCACCTTCCTGGTTTCAACTTTTTGGGAACTGTCAGTCCTAGTTGACCAATTGTACAATCTGACAGTTGAGTCAAATATAACTATCACTTATTTTTCTATTTTTGGTGCTAGGTCATCCAGATTTTGGCTAGGATTTTTCCTCCCCAACTATTAACAGAATTGTCAAAAGCATAAAACTGCTTTTATGGATACATTTGAGGTTTAGAATTATTCTGGAAACCTTGTCAAAGGTAGTATAGAGGAAGATGGACATAAAAATACTGTGCAAATCCAGGTCAGAATATAGAATTGTTCTAAAGGATAATAACGTTTTTAAAGGCAGCATGAGTTTAGTATAAAGAATGAAAATACATTCTATGAAATCTGTGGATTGCTTGATAAATATGATACAGTGCGGTACACAAAATTGATTGATTCACCACTGTGGGGTGGGGTGAGAGACAATAAAGGAAGAAAGGAGACATAAAACTTCCCTAAAATATATACCATTTTTTTTAATATATAGAATTGAGAAAAAAAAAGGTCAGGCCATCTTCCCCCCTGGTCACATGACCACCATTTTATATGCTCAGAAATCCCTTTGCATTTATGACTGGTGGCCGAGAGCTCTGTGGTCATGTGTTTGGCCTTTGCAATCTTCTCTGCTGGTTCCCCAGAAAGTCAATGGAGAAGCTAGCAAGGAAGGTTACAAGTTCAGATTTAGATCTGTTCCTCTAGCCCAAGAGAGATTTCTTCCCCCTCTGTGCATCCTCCCCGGCACTGGAGGAACTGACCTTGAATCTGTCAAAAACGCTAGCGAAGGTCATTATTCTGAATCTTTCAGAACGCTGGTGTTCACTAGTATTTTTTCCATCGTTTCCAGAGGGAAAAGGGTAATCTAATCAGGCAAGTCCCTACTTTTGTTCTCACATAACGTGTTGGCTTGTGTGAAATGAGAGTAGAGATGTTAAGCCGTATATTTCCCATTCATTTTAGAGAGATACCCATCTTGCATGTATCACATATGTCAGAGGAAAAAAGCATCCATATTTTGTCCAATTGTTATTAAACCATGGCAGCAATTCATTACAATAGCGTAGATTTATTGGCATTACTTCAAACTTTGGTTTAACATTTATTCTTCTTTGATATAAAGCTGAGATATTATTTGTTTCCTTTTACAGCTAGTCCATGTCAATATTAGGATATCTTACTATTAATAGCTGGCTTAGTCTTAAGAGAATTCATTTTACAAATGCTTTTCAACTTTTTAAAATAAATCTGGATAATATTATTATAGGTTGTGTTGTATCTTATTCCTAAGAACAAATTTGTTCTTAGAAATAAAATGCTTAGCCATTTGAGAAAACGGATAGTGAGCAACAGTTAAGTTAGCATGAATTATCTAGCGAAACAAAATCTATTTGCCACTGTTTAAGTTGGCAAACTATTTGTTTTCTTCAGATTTCTATCTCTTGGTTCTTAAGTGTACTTATCTTTGGAGCAGTTGTTCACATCGAGAGAAAGATATGTTAGTGTTTGTATGCCTGGTTTTAACATTATTTCATTTAGGGATGTATACAAGCATTTTGAACTGAACTGATCAGACAGCATTCCTTGTCAAGAATTCTTGAAGAAATAACTGATATTTAAAGATGCTTTGTGTTGTTATACTTTGCAGCTGTCCTGGAAAAATATTTTGTTGTTATTGTTGTTAGTTGCGAAGTCGTGTCCGATCCATCTGTCGTCCCCTTCTTCTTTTGCCCTCAATCTTTCCCAGCATTAGGCTCTTCTCCAGTGAGTCCTTCCTTCTCATTAGGTGGCCAAAGTATTTGAGTTTCATCTTCAGGATCTGGCTTTCTAAAGAGCAGTCAAGGTTGATCTCCTCTAGGACTGACCTGTAAAAAATATTTACAGAAATACTATTCATGTATAATATATTGGATAAATAAAAGGTTAGATAATAATGTTGTAAATTGTACTCTTTCCAACCTGCTATCCTTCAAGGGTATTTGGCTTCAACTTTTGAACTTGAATTCAACTTCAATTACTAAATTATTAGTAATTAATACTAAATTACTACATATACCATAATTCCATATTGTCTGGACAGTACTGGACAATATATTAGAAGAAGGTTTCTGTAGATCAATTCTAGTTGTATATGAAATTAACAGATAGTAATATTTGGGTCTGCAGGAAGATTAGTTCATTCCAAGTGAGAGAGGGTTAATTAAAGAAACAGTTTTTGCCAGTAACCAAAGTGTGAGTTTCTCCTTTTACTCATTCTACTAGACCTAAATAGAATTTTGCCTTGCTTTTTTCTGTTCTGAATTGCTGCTTTATTTATGTGGCTGTACAGTTTCATTGGTTGTCAGGATATTTTATCTTGATTCACAAATGACACGCTCACTATTTTAGTTGCGCTTTTTACAGATATACCGTACATGGAGATGTCTAGAAAGAACTCAAATTTGGTGAATCCGATCTTGAAGTTTTAGATTGATACTGCAAAACTAACCAGTGAAGTTAACAAAATATATCTTTTGATTTATTTCTCTTCTTTTTCTTCCCACCAGGAACTACTAATATTTTTACAGAATTTGCCTACGATGCACTGGGGAAACGAAGATATCAGCGTTCTCCTTGCTGAAGCCTACAGATTGAAGTTCGCATTTGCAGATGCTCCGAACCATTACAAGAGATAAAAAAAAAAATTACAAAGTGTGGCTCTGATTGTGACATCAAGTTTCCATATTGTGGTTGTTGTGCTGGCACACAATTGTCTACAGTTTCTGTATTACTGTTGAGCAAGAAGCTATAGGATTACCAAAGAAATGAGCATACAGGCTTGGGGGAAAATCTTGTGTACTTAAAAAGAAATATTCTTGTTCGCTGATTTAAAAAAAATTAAATTTTATTTTCATTATGGTCCCTTTTTTCTTTGGTAATTGAGTTACCATGCAAATGAATAAAGTGTGTTACATTCATTGGGATCTAATGACTGATTGTGTTGTCTCCATCAGTTTTATTCCTAGTCAATTATGTTCAACATTTTGATGGAAGCATTTTTGGTGTCTGAGGTGCATGCAAGCTAATAAGAACAATCAGTCTTGCATTGAAAATGAGTACAACTAAATTAGGCAAGAAGGTCATGTAGAGGTGATTGCACACTTATTTTGTTCGCAAACATGGAATATTTAACTCCTTTTAATAGAAAGTTTGTTTACACAATGAAATCCAGGAGTAGATTTTTATGGAACACAATATTTAAAACTTGAAAATAATGCCACGTGCGTGATCAAATGAGATCCTCGGACATTTTACTCAGCAGTGTGCAGATAATGTTTACTGTGTTATTTGACTTTAGAGTTTCCAAAACATATTGACTATAGAATAGGAAATAAGTTTGGTTTGCCATAATGTATTACTTAAGCTACTGGTTTAAAACCTTTTTGTGCATGTAGATTTTTTAGTTTCAATATTTTCCTAATTAAAATCTTACTTTATACATGAAGAATATATTTTGATGTGCTATTGCCTTATGTTGAGTTTATAATACGATGGGGCACTTGATAATGTGATTCGGTATGAGTGTGGGTGTACCTCAGCTCTTATAATATAAGCAGGGAGTTACAGTGTGCTGATCAGGTTCAGAAAATTGGACTGATGAAATCTCCTCAAACGTACTCTCTTGCAACCATCATGCAGAGTTCTTGATTAATTAAGAGCCAATTTATATAAAAATATGTATGTTTAGCAGCAACTTAGTGCTAAGAATTCAGTGAAAGGACGTGGTTAGTAATATAAATGATTTGGCTTTCTAAAATATTCACCAACCATTAATCTTTTGAAGCGTCCAATTTAACCGAGGTGATTTATTCTTTAAGATTGTATATTTAACATACAATTGACCGAGCCAAGTATTCTTGATCTTTGTATAGAGGAAAGGTTATTGCAAAAGTAGCAATGATACCAATATGCTTTTAGTATACCAGATCTACTAAATATGATCTATGAAAACCTCTTTATCACTCACATCTTCACTAAGTCCTGAACCAATCTGAACTATAAATGGAATAAGATAATATTAGGAGCTCTTCATGTGTGCCTTTAAGTCTTTATTTGAATGTCTTAGTGTGGCTGTATATGTTGACTTCCTTTCTGAATGGCTAGATGCCAAACTACATGATAATTACAGGCAATAGCACTATTTTTCTGGCCTTTCATAGGCTGCACAGATGTTTTAAAAGTTTCTTGTTTAAAAGACATTTTGTTCAGTGGAGCATTTGCCATATTCTCTTTCTGATATTGTTTAACTATGCGTTCAGATTGTGTTGGGCTAAGTGATTGCGAAACATATTCCAGTTCCATTTGAGTTCCTCATTTTCAAATGCATGCTTTTAACAGCTTTATTGAACAAAGCAGAGTAGTTCTGTTATTATCGTAACACAGGTGCACAGTCACAAAGAGGATACAATTTATGAGAACTTCCAAGTCAATAGTGACCTGAGGGGGCTACATTATTGAGGAGTTACACCATCCCTTTCTGTTAAGGTATCGGTGTTAATTCTAATCCTATCATCCATCTACTAATATACCATGCAAAGTCATTCACAGCCAATGTATTCCAATAGATTCTTGACTTTAATCATATAATGGAAATGGCATTTAGTTTTTCAGAATTCCCCCCCCCACACACACACACACACTAAGTTTGTAAGCCACAAGGGTTAAAGGATTTTTAAACATGAGGATACTTTAAAGTTCAGTGCATTATTATTTTTAAATTGTTAGATTGTGTGTCAAATAAAATAAATAAAACCTTCCCCGCCCTCAAGGAAAAAAATAAAAATCAAACCAGCTGAAATGCAATGAGAGTGAAAATTGTATGAATCATTAAAAAAAGAAGATATAGAGCACATGAATTTGTACTTTTTAAATTGTATAATTTGCATAGGAATTTCTCTTATGTAAAATGAGTCTGTTTTACTGTGTTAAATGTATTTGGAGAACTGAAAAAGAATGTTAATTCCATTTGATATGACTTTCAGGCTTTGTTAGGATCATTATTGCTTCCTCTTCAAAACTGAATAATATTTCATGCTGTGAAAAAAACAACCACCCTTGAGTACATCAGAAACAAAGGGTGAATCTATCCTCCAATGTTGTTTTATAAAAATTGGGTATTTAAGACAGCTGATATCATTCTGGCCATATGATACATTATCTATGTACTTATTTTTTTTCCTTGAAATTGTGTCTTGATTTCTTTGTATAACTCAGGAAAAGTGCCACCCCAACCAGCTGTTATATGGAAAAAAATATTTCTGCCACTTTTACATCCCTTTGTTAAAATTTTGAATTGCTCTCTAATATCAATATTCTTCCATTTAAGATTTATTAATGTAGAAAAGATATTGGAACAATTCAATAATTTAGCATGATCTGTAATGTTATATTGAAGGCTTAAAGCTACCTTGTCATAAATGCAATATTAAATGTACAGTGCATATAACCGATTTCTATCTATAGTATATGCTTAGTAATGTAAATAAAAACAATGTACTAAATATGTAAATATAAAATATGAAAGATACAGCTATCTTGCAATCACCTGTACATCTCAAATATACTATAACAAACTAGTTGCACTAGTCTTTAATTTCATATGGAAAAGCCCATAGATTTGTATTACATCAATAAAATGTAATTAATACCCAAGATTTTGTATATGTGTCTATTATATAATTTTTGGAATTAATATGAATAATAATACTATACCTCTAGGTATAGTAGAGGAAAATCTTTAGGATTTTGAAATTATTTTAATGGTAAAGATTGTATGATGAACGCAAAAAATAAATGTGCATGCTGCCAAGTATATAAAAATTACTAGGAGGGAGAGAGGTTTGGCAAACAAAGCCACAGAGATAGTGTGGTAAGATTTCAGTACTGACATCAAATATTGACCTTGTGTTTCTCATTTTTGCTCAGAGTTTTAAGACAATTGAGGCAATGCAATATATCTTTAAAAGCATATTTAATGAAGTATAACTGCTCTTATATCTGTTTGCTTTTTTACATAACTATTTTTGTCTGACAAGGCTTTTAAGAATTAAAAAAACAGGTCTTGGATGGCTGAAGGGGAAAATATAGCTTTATGTTGAATATTGCAAAAATGAGACGATTCATTCCAGGTGAAAGAACAGAATTTTAAAATTTAAGTTTTAAATTCTGACTTGTTTGTTTTGTGTCAAGTTCCTTTCTCACCCAGCTCTTTCGTCATTTAGTAACCATTATAATAGCTCTACAGATTATACTACCTGCTCTGTAAAGATCCTTTTCATTTATGTAGGGATTTTTGTTTTAAATGCCCTTTAAAAAAAAAAAAAACACCATAAAACACAGTGGCAAAATATATGTGCAAAAGGATCCTGTTTTCTTTCTCTTTTATTTTTTGTAAAAGTTTTTTATTTTATAGACAAACAAACATACAGTACATAATCATTCAGTGTATCATCTGAGTACATCTTTTGTGACTTAATTTTAAATCAATAACTTATCGCTTCTGGACATGTCCACCACATATGATAATACAATCCTCGTGTCTGATGGCATTTCCAACATTTAGGATCCTATTTTCTTTTGATTGTCTTATCATTGCAATCACATTGCAACTAGTGATTCATATCATACTTGAAGAAAATGTTTTGGAGGGGGTGTTGTTTTCTTACTAAAGTACCGCAGACTTTCTTGCTAAAAGAACATTTTACAGAAATCATAATAAATTAATCCAGCTTTGCATGGAGCCCTGCAGAGAAGAATCAAAGGAGATATATAGGTTTATCAAATTCTAAGGAGAAAATAATAACATTAATCATTTACTTGGCTTTCTTCATGCATATGATTTATTATTTCACTTTATAAACCTTGTTTATTAAGAATTGGTGTACAGATAGCACATATCTCTACGGCTAGGATAATGATAGTAGTCTTTCAATTTCAAATTATCTCGTGCCCATTAAGCAGCAGGGTCACATCAAGGAGGTCTACAGAAAGTGTGGATTTATTGAAGAAGGATTATTCTGGAAAACAAGCTTTTTTATTGTCTGACGATTAAAGGAATATCTGAGAAGCTTACTCTGATATATGTATTTCATCTAGGTGTTTATGTTTTTAATATATATCTTCTGGGATTTTAAACTTCTGGAATATTACCAAAAAAGATAAAATTGGAGCAAAACAACCTAGCATAACATCCATATTGTGGCAGACACTAAAAAGTATAAAATAATCTAGCAAGAAACTCAGATTTCTTGGTCCAAAAGCAAACGAAACATCATGACAGGGTAGCAATTTAATGTTGAGCCTGAAATTGGACACATCTCGACCCTCATCCAGTCCAAAACTTTTATTATTATAATTTTTTAAAATTTTGGCTGGCTTTAAACCATCAAAATGAAAAACAAGGACGGCTAATATCACATTTTGAGGATACTTGTTTAACTGATTTATTGAGGTGCAGGTGGCCAGATTCAATTCAACACGCTAAGCCAATAAGCCACAGTTGGGTGCATATAACACAGTACCAAAATTCACTCTTTAAGAGGAGTGAACGCACCCACTAATGCTCATATCTGCAACACTCCTTTGATTTTATTTTTTGTCTGGAATTAAACAACCTGCAAGTTTTACACCCTCCTGCGGAGCAATATTCCAGGTTCCTTTTGACCCTTTGGGGGCCTGCCATTCTTTTATTTGTATAGTTCAGAAAGGCAGAGCACAAGGATCCATATTAACATGTGCTCTAGCAAGAGTTTGCAATAATTCTGGATGGCATCTCTCCATTTCTTTCCAAATTTTGGTCATTGCTATACTGTTTCCTCAGGCTCCTTGCTGTGGCCTGATCAAAAGAGGAGAGAGATTGCCAAGGCTGGAAGGTAATTACCCCTCCTGTGTCCCTTACCGGCAGCTCTAGAATTCTATTGATGAAACTTGCTAACAATGAAGTTGTATTTTATGCTTGGCAACGATCAGCACTCTGGACAGAGACCAAGAGATGGTGAAAGTCAGGAAAATCTGCCAAAGCATCATGTGCGCCTGCTACACTGAATAATTAAAACAATTTAATTTGAACAGCTTCCATTTGCATTCTCTGGCTTTCATTCCCCATATTAAGAGATTGCACTGGGCAATGGATCCAGAAAATGGATTTTGCTGATTTTCAAGTCCATTTGCGTTAACTTGTTCCACTTTGAAAAGTCGGACTGCATTAAGACATTGGATTTCTTGAAGATCGTTGTGAGATGCAGCTGTCATGCTTCCTCCTGGGAATGTTGTACAATGCGGAACGTCTAATTCAAGGCATTTTTCCCCCTATTATCAACACATGTTTTTTAGTCCTTTGGATTGGAAAATCTATTATTTATTATATTTGTGTTTTCTGTCTGTCAACCGAAGGTTCTTTTATTATTTTCAGTAGCTGATTAGAAGCATTCATGCCCATTTTCTAAGAAGCCCCCTGAACCATTTTACTGTTCAGCAAACTGTCTTGCTGGGTGTGGCAATTGTTGTTTGAAAGTGAAGAGCTGTGATACTTTGGAGAATATATGGTTAATCATGGGACAGAGTAGGCCACTTGGCATCTAATTTATTCAGAACATCCACAAAAACATAGAGAATTCAAGAGGAATAGGACAATGCAGAATTTGGTTAAACCTGGCACTTCAATAAGAATTAAGAAAGCAAATCAGGATTTGAATGAGCTACAATTTAAATTGTATATTGGCGTAGTGGGAGTGCTTTACTCATTCCTCTCTGTCAAAACAATTTTCAGTCTGTTTCTACCAAGTTTACAAAATTACTCAAATATGTTCTTTGGGTTTGTTTCTATTTTGGTTTTTGATGTTCTTCATCAAACATCTTCCATTTGGGAAATTACTATTTAAAGTATATTTAAATAAATGGTTCCTTTGATGATACTCTGCTAGAGAATTAATTTTTAATTTAAGCTAGTCTATTATCTTGAATTTTAAAAAAATAGTTTCTGGGTTCTTGGAAGAAATCCATCTTTCCAGCAAACTGCTCATAATGAGTTAGTCATAACTTTTGAAGCTTTTCTCATGTTTGAACTCTGATGTTATTTAACTTGGGATAATTTCTGGACCCATGACTATGATGACGATTATTGCCATCATCGTAACAGGCTGGCTGAAGAAATGGAGGTGATCAGCATCAAATGCAAAGAAGGTTGATAAGAAAAAGGACAAACAGCAGTGGCCCTGAAGAGTAGAAGAAGGAAAACAATAAGAGAGTGATAAGAGAAATAAAGAAAAACAATTAAAGGCAAAGCTACCCAAAAGAAAGTTGAAAACAAAACAGGAAACAACCCCTTAAAGCTACAGCAAATCTAATGGATTGAATCTTCTTACCTTGGAATTTGCACATTGTTTTTCAAAACAAAAACTAATCATTGAGTGACCCTTGCTGGGACTAATTATTGTTTACATGCTGGCTGGAGAATTCTGGGAATTGAAATCCACCCATCTTAAAAGTTGCCAAGGTTGAGAAACACTGGTTTACTATCTATTGCCATTGTCCTTCAGCATTTCTTATGCTTTGTCAGGTCAAATTCCACATCTATCCGGATTATCTGTGGAGTTATCTGAATTGAGCCCTCACTAGAAGGAAGTCACAATATTCAAATTGTGCAAATGTAAATTAGGTTTTTAAATAGATATCACAACTGTTTTTGTCAGTCCTCCAGTTTTATTACTTTAACCATAATGGTTGAAGTTTGTCAATTCGTAACATTTCTCTCAGCTGATAGCTTGATTGAAAGCTGTAGCAAATGAATAATCACAGACTCATCCTCTTTTACAGTGTGGTGCTTTACAGGCAGGGGTGGAATTCTACCGATTCAGACCGGTTCGAGCGAACAGGTTCACTCCATTGTTCAGATGGGCCCTCCTGCCCCTGCGTTTTACTGACCTATATCTTCTCAGCTGATTCGCGCGACAGAATGGATTGTCGCATCTCAGCTGTGTTACTCCCCAGCAGTAATGCGGAAGGTAAGTTTTTGTAAAACTGAGCACGTGCGTACACCACGCGCACATGCAGAGCGCGTGATCACCAAACCGGCTGTTAAAATGGCAGGTTCCCACCACTGTTTACAGGTATTCTGGGACTATGTCTTCTCCAAAACCCCAGCAAGGGTGGTCTTTGGCTGAGAATATGTTTTGTTCCCAAAACATCTGAAGGGTGACAAGAAAAGGAAACTTGTTCTTAGCATGTTGGTGATATAAGCTGAGATCAGTTTTAAAAGAAGCTCAGATGGGGTTTTATTAATTTCACTCTGTGCAGCTTCTTACGATGTTAGAATTCCTTCTTTCCATTCATTTATTTTTTGTTTTCCATTTGCTGGCTTTTCTCATAAAATAACACAAATTCTGCTCTGTTTGGAGACCGGAACTGGTTAAATTATTTAACATGGCAAGGATTTGAACATCTTTGAAAAAGAGAGAAACATAATCTTAAACCAGTGGCCTGGAATTTTGCAGTCAAAGAAATTGTTCCCCCCCTCTCCCTCTCCCTCTCCCTCTCTCCCCCCCCCTCTCCCTCCCCCCCCCCCCCCCCTCTCTCTCTCTAAGGGAGGGACGAGGAAGATAATCTCCAATCAAGCTTTGGAAGCTGCACAGATAGAAGTTGATAAGGCAGCAGTT